TGTATTTAGGAACTGCTTCAAATTGAAATGCTATAATAACCCTCCAAAGAAGCAGACTGAAGATAAATTATGCAACTGTAGCTGATTTAAATCAGATTTTGAGGGAACCAGGGAACTCTCCAGAACAGGTATTTGCTCTGCAGTTCTTCATGTTAATTAAAGCAGAACAGAAGGTCATCATAAAAGCTACCATATTATAAAAAGCAAAATAATAAAGCCCTAAGAAAAAAAAATTGTAATTTCTAAATGGAAAATAATGGGAAGCAGAGCCTTCTGCCCATGTTAACTAGTTCATGCAGAAATGTTAATCACTGTTATTGTGTTGACATAAGTGGTGATGAGGTGATTTATACCATATGTGCATCTGGCTGTGTGGAAATATATATATTTGACCAGAACTGATGATACCAGCAGACACACTAAACAAATGAAATTCCAGTTATGAAGCACAGATCAAAGATGTGCAGACATCCAAGAAATGTGAGCAAAGGAGCTACTAAGAAGAGTATGTGATTTGAATGGGCCATTAGTAAAAATAAATACAACAGCAAATGTGATACAGTCAAACTAGCTACAGAACAAAACATAGAAATGTGAAAGTGAGTCAAATAGTGTAAGTCTGGCAAGTGTCACAGTGAGTCTGGTGAAGCAAATCTCAACCTTGATTCACAGAACCTTACATATATTTACATATGCTTAAATTAAAATAAATTCTTACATATGGGCAAACTTAAGCATGAACAGAAATTTCATTTACTTCATTAGAAGTTATAGAAGATAAGATTGAATACATTATATACTGCCTTTTCCAACTAAGGAATTTCTTTCAAAATTGGGCCCCTTTCTTCTGAGTAAGGGCCCTTCCATTAACAAACACTAATTAAAAATTCTATACATATTATAATCTCAGGAAGATTGTTGAATTTGAGAATTCTTGTTGACAAGAATTTGACTCGATAATACACAGGTGTGGTAGTTTGGGGGGTGGAAGCTGAAACAGTAAGGAAATGTCAGGAAACATGAACCAGCACTCCCTAATCATGAAATAATATGGTAAATCAGCTATTTTTAGGAAGTGATAAAAATCTCAATGCTTTGGATTGTAGAAGCAGAAACCTAGAACACACGCTTTTGTCGATTATCTCATGGTTTACCTTGTATTTATAAGGCAAAATGACCCAAAAGCCATAGAAACATCTTTCACTTTTACCATTTCACAAGGGCAAATTATGAAACGCAAAGCTTCCTCATTGTGCCCATTTAGATCACTAAATCAGGGACAAAGCCAGAACAGATAAGATCATTTTAAAGCACAAGGCTCAATTTAGTGGTTCGCAGGTCTTTGTATATCTATGTCAGCTCTGGTACCACGGGGACTAGAAGCCTGCAATCAGTTCACAGAGCTCTGTGTGCTTGATGACAGCAGGTCGCCGGCTTTGCGCCCCTTCACCACCGAGAAGCACCTCAGACACTTTGTGGGGGCTGTTTAACACAAGGCACAAGTTACAGACTTCCATCTTAAAAGCAGGAGCTCCACATATACAGCTGAATAATAGACGAGCCTGGCAGTTGTGCTGGCTCAGCTGCTGCCTCACACGCGGCAGAACTGCCCGTGTTGCAGAGCAGATGTTGCAAAGCAGGTGTCAGCAGGCAGTTATGGGTGGCAACCACCAAAGCCTTCCCAAAGCAGTGCTTCCACTCAAGAGTTAAAGCCTCAAAGGAGACATGAAATAACCTTGTTAATTTGACGCTTGATAATGCAAACATCTTAAAAACCCCACTCCAAATTGTATGTCACTCCCTGGCACAGAGCCAGGAGTTCTCATCCAATTTCAGCATATTAAGGTTTTAATGGGGTTTTTTTAGAGAAGCTTCTGCGAACATTTGGTGCTACCAGTTCAATGCTTAATCACACTTTCTTAGAAGGAAATCGCGGTGATGTTTAAACCTACAAATTAACTGCACCTGATACAGCCTTTTTCTCCTTACACTATCTACCCTGCGGAGAGCATCCACAACCCCAGCAGGACGAGAACCTCCTACAGAAAGGCTGGAACGCTCTGCCAGCTCACCCCACTACCCGTCCCAGGCGGCGAGATCCCGACACCATCTCCGCCACTGCCCCACCGCCTGTGTGTCCTCTTCCCGGGGGGATTCTCGCTCCGTGCACGCCCGCTGCCGCAGGAACCTCGCCTTTGCGAGAGGAGTGGGGGGCGCGGTGCTCGCGGTTCTCCCGCCCCCGTGCCCGGCAGCCCCGCTCTCCCCGGCTCAGCCGAACCGCCCCCCACCCCGCGGCCAGCCAGGTGCGCCGGGCTACGACCGCCGCCGGGGCAGAGCGGGCGGGCGGGCACGCACCGGGAATGCTGCCCGGAGCCCGCCCGGCCCCGCCCGTGCGCGGGGTGCGGAGTTCGGGACGAAGGGGGAGCGACCCGCACCAGCCCCGCGCCCACCGCGAGTGAGCGCCCGGCTCCGCCCGCCAGGGCGCGCCCACTGCGCGTCAGCGCGGACGCAGCCAATGGGCACTCGGGGCTGCCCCTGGGGGCGGGGCCGTGGGGGGCGGGGCGGGACGGCGGCCAATGGGCTGCGGGGATGTTCCCGGAGGCGCAGCCGCCGCGGCCCCTCCCCCGCCGGCCGCTCCGGCTCGGGGCTCGCCGGGCGGGAGAGTTTCGCTCCCGGGTGGGAGATGCCGCGCGGGCTCCGTGTCCTCGCAGGTAACGCCGCGCGGGGGAGCGGGGGTCTCGCCGGTTCCCGTCCGCTGGCGGGACCGGCCCGGGGGATGAGGGCCGGACGGGACGGGACGGGCCACCTCCTCCGGCGGAGCTGTCGCCGCCAGGACAAAAGGGGAGCGGCGAGCGGGGCAGGGCCACCGCCAAACTCCCGGCGGGGCTCGCCTGCCCGCCAGCCTCGACCCTTACCTCGAAACTGCCGCTGCCCTCCCCGGGCGGGCTCTTTCCCCGGGACCGCCCGCCGGGTACCCGGGACGCCCCCAAGTTTGCGGGGCTCTGGGCACGGCCAGCGCCACCCTGGGTGCGAGCCGCCCCCGGCGCCGGCGCTGTTGGGCGGGAGGCGCCGTGCCCGCCCCGCCGCGGGGGTGCTGCGGTGTGCGGCGGGTGCCCTCCGGGTCGGCTCGGGCTCGCCTTTCCCTGGAGAGGGCGGGGGGAGGCGCCCTCCCGGTGCCCGGCCGGCGGGCAGCGGCGTGTGCGCGCTCCGGGGAGGTGGCGGTCCCTCGAGGGAGCCCGCACCGCGCTGCCCGGGGAAGGGAGGGAACCCCCACGGACCGGCCTCCTGGACGGCGGGGAAGGGGGCTGGCAGTGGCTGTGCGCCGGATAAATAGAGCAAGCGTAATGGGAGAAACTTTCAGGGCGAAATAAATTTGGAGTAGGTTAAAGATTTTAATTGCGTGGTGCGTGTTGATGGTGCATCCGTGCTGTTGGGAACAACGCCGTGCACTTCTCTCAGTTAACAGCCACGCTTTCTCTCTTTGTTTCCGTCAAAGTATGAGCATAAGGGTGAACTACTCCGAGAAAGGGTTTTGCTCTTAAAGCAGCTGCTTTGCTCAGCCAGGGAGCTCCAGCCTCTCAGGCTGCACAGCTCCAGGTTCCTGACTTCACCTGAATTTGGGAGCCGCGCCGTATGGACTCCAAAGCGAGGAGGGGCACCGGTGTGGCAGGGGGTACTGCCTGTCCCTGGGCACGTGTGTGTGCAGGAATGGGGAATATGCGGGGACCCGAATGAGGTACTGCAAAAAGCAAAGCAATTGCTGCAGTCAGCTCTGCTCCAGATGCTTGGAGCTGTTTTCCTAGACCGTGCAAAGACATTAAATGCAATGTTTACAGGGGTGCACTAGAGTTATTTTTCTAGATTCTGTTTTTCTGTATGAGGGTCTTAAATGTTATATTTTCAGGAGTGCAACAGTTGATTTAATAAGCAAATAAATAAGAAGAAACTTCAAATAGGCTACTATATGTGCCTATTGTACTTTGGGCTTGCAAACTAAAAAATCCATATTCTGCCTGGCTTTTACTGCAGTTTTCCATTCATAGCTTCCTTCCCTTGCCGTTTATACCAGCACCTGATAATAAGACTACTCACAGTAGTGTCTGAGCCCCTGAGAAGCGGAGGCAGAGCAGAAGTCCAGACAGAAGGCTGGCTCTGGAGCATCCAGAGAGACCCATCTGAGTAAAGGTGGCTCATGGGTGTAAACCTCCTGCCTCAGTACCTCCACACTGATGTATCACTCAGTGTGCTTGGATTGCAGGGTCCTTTTCATCTGCCCCAACAACCTCATGAGTCCATACAGCAGTGGAACTTCAACTGCACTTGAGGTGTGCTGAGTGATCTCTTGAATGCTAGTCCTGTCTCAATTCTATGGGTCTTGCTGTCTCATTGCTTGAATTGTTGAGATTTAGGGCCTAGGCCATTAACTGGTACCTCCATATGTCTATCTGTGATGTTTGTATGAATTCCTTGCATGGGGGAATGTGAAAGACTAGGTCCTTTAATCTGATTAACTGAAGGGAGTTTAGCTCTTTTGGCAATTGACAATGTTTGCTTTTCAAATGTGGAAGGAAATTATAATGTTTATCATTTTCTACAGAGCTTTATAAATGTTTCACAGTCCCTCTGTTGCATCTGTTTGTATTGCTTGAAAAGAACAGTAAGAAACAGAAAAACAGTGATTTGCTCTACATTTTAAAATTTGTCTGTGCCAAAGTTTTACCTTAGCATCTAAGAATTTCTTGTATTTATCTCTGTGCTCCAACCATGATAAATTCTGCCTTTAGTTCCTCATTTGAAATACAAAATTATGTTTAGGTGTGTCCCAGTAACTATGAGAGGTGCTGAGAAAAAAAATGTAAGGTTATATGAAACTTAATCTCCTCTCCCAAGCCAGCTTTCTTTTGGAGTTCTTTTTTTGTGAATTAGAGCTGTAACCATGCACTTGTATGTGTTTCTTCCAGATTTTCAACCAACATAATGCTGAAGCTCCCAACTTGGAACCAGCATTTCACAGAATGGCACAAATGGAACCTAACCTGGACCATGATGTATCATGGTTCCTCCTCCCATCATACTGGGCTAAAATGGTTGTGGCATTAATTTCCTTCCTCTGTTTTGCTAACAGCTATGATGGAGATTTTGTCTTTGATGATTCTGAAGCCATCATCAATAATAAGGTTTGTCTCTCTTCTTTTCCTCACAACCTTTGGCATAAATGGTCATATGAAAAGAAATAATGCAACAGTTGATCTAAACAGGCCCAAAAGTTTCAGCCTAGTAGAGAGCTTCCTTTGGGTATTACTTTTTTTTTATTAAACTTCATCTTTCCATTTTGTTTTATTGGGTGTTTTTTCAAGTTAAACTGATTTAAGCGTACCTGTACATCAAGACTGCCCGTAGGTCTAATTTTATGCTCATTCCTGTGTCAGGGAGAGTGTACAGTAAACTTTTCTGATACCCATGGATCTTAATAGGAGATTTTGTTCATTATCTTCACAGAACTTCTCTGGTCACAGAATCAGACCAGTGAATAAACTTAGTCTGGTTGCAGGTACATAAGGCATCATTAAGGTATCATGTAGGGTGCAGGGGGTTTTCAGGTGCAATTAATACCATAAAAATGTTACAGGAGCAAGCAAAGCTCCCATTTCCCTCCTTCCCCCATTAAAGTTCCTGTGACAACAGTACCTTTTTGAGATAGAGGTGGAGTATTCTTGTGTTCCATTTTAAAGCTGACCATACATGCAGTGAACAGACCTTGAAATGCTTAGAAGTTAACATGTGATTCAAACAAACCTCTAACTGAGATTCTTTTGACTTTGAGCAGTGGAGTGTCTTCAATTGCTGAGACACTTCACAGGATCACATGTAGCAGTGAGTGAGCCCATGCCCATGGATGGGTATTGGTGTTACAGCTTTTATGCTGCTCTGGAAGGTACTTGTTAAGCATTTAGAAAGAAAAGCACAGGATAAAAATAATCACATTCATCTGTTGGTTCTGTCTTCCTGAAGCCATGGGGTTACAAAGAGGATAATCTGGAGACTCACACTGCTAGAATAACACAATTCACTTTTTTTTTTTCCTTGCACAAGCTATAGAGGCAACTTATCACAATGTGCCTTTTAGAATCATGCAGAATTACTGTTTCCTTAGACAGACTTGTATTATGTGTGTGTAAGTCATCATACCTTCAGTTATAAATGTATGGGGGGAAAATACATCTGTCAACGTGGAAATAAATCTCAAAGCTTTCAAGAGAATACTGTAGACAAATTAAGAACCTACAGCATTGTTGTTTGGGTTTTTTTTTTTTTTTTAGTAGTATTGTATTTTAGATTGCACAGCTCCTGGTAATGTTTCATTCTGCAAAATTTTATTTGGGACCTGTTTATAATATTTTCATTTCCTGAAAGAATGAACAAAAGACTGATGTTGAAACAAAGCAGGTTGTTTTGGTAATGTGCAATTTCCACACTTGTAATCTCTCTCCATTTCTTTCAGTCTTTACTCTAAAAATGTTTCATTTTATCTATGCAACCCAACAATTTGCACCAGGATTCTAGCTGTTGGCAATGCTGAGAAATTCAACCAACTGCTTAAATAAATTAATTCATATGTAGTCTCTATGTTTGAAAAACTGGGAGGCTGTTTCTATTTCTCACATCAAAATCCTCTATTATTCTCTAGAAATTAAATGAGGATTTTGTGACAATATCATTTTAACACAGGGGTCATATGGATATATGGAAATTCAAAATCCACAAGAAAAATGCAGAGACAATGACATTACCAGTTTAAGGGGGAGGGAGATTATCTAGCAATGGCACAGTTTATTAAACAAAGCATAGCATATTTTATTCCCATTTAATAGAAAAGACAGCAGTTGAAGTAATTTTATAGATTTACTGAGCATTGCTACTGTAGTATTTTCTTGGGTACCACACAGTTCCCTCTCTGTTAATTTGCTAGCTGCCATCATCCCAATCTTTCATTTCTTTTATTGTTTTTTTAGCAGAAGATACACATTTAATTCACCCCATCCCTATTGTATCATGGAACATTCCTTTATTAGATTTTATTGGAGTTAAAGTCTGTTTTCCAGATGCTTTCTTATCATTCTAAGCAGCATTTTAACTGGTACACAGAAGTGGCTTTTGTCTTTATTTATTTACTAGCTTGGCAAGACAAACAGTTGGATTAAGCAGAGCTTCAGACACAGTATGTCATTTCCATAAGCCTTTATATAGAAAAACTGACCTTTCTTCAAATCTTGAACTCTGCTCTCTGTAAGCTGCTGCTAATCAAATATTTAGAGATTATTTGATAGCTACTTTTGGTTTTTAAAGAGAAAATCATATGTAGCTTTTAAACAGCTGTCTCTTGAAGAAAACCATTCCTATTTTAGGGTAAGTTCACTATGTAGGAAAATTGATGTAAGAAACTTTCTCACGGAACTTGGATACAAGGACAAGATACATGATTGAAGATTTTTAGGTCATATGGAAGTGTAATCTAATCACTAAGTAATTCCATGCATTCAGCTTTTCCTGCCTTCTTCCGATGGAAGACAAAAGAAGGCTGATTATAGCAGAATGGGAAATCAAGCCTTGTACATTTCCCATCTCAAGTTATTGAAGGCCATCTGTGACATGGAAGACATACTTTTCTTTTCCAGTACTAACATTTATAAAAGTATGTCTTTCATAAACCTTATGTACATAAGGAGCAGTGCTGCTGGTTGAAAAAACAGTGTGAGGGCCACACCACCCTCTGGCAGCTGTCCCCTGCAGAGTACAAAGACTTCAGTAGATGTTGGTGTACATCCCTGTCCCACCCTGCCCTGGAAAAGCTGGCTCTGTCGATTTAGTGAGCTGCTGGTTGAGTGTGTTCCTGCTCTGAGAGTCAAATTGTGACCTTTAGGGTTTGTGCATACCGATGAGGAATGGAACAGGAATTTAGATGCCTAAGGCTAAAATTGCAGTTCTGTGAGAAGGAAGAAATTTCTAGCTATTACTTGGCAGTAGAAACATCTGTGAGAGTGTGAAGAAATTTTTCACCTTGGTAATTCTTAAGCCCAAGTAGGATCCCCTGTGAGTCTTGATTTCTTAAGAATTTCCCTGAGAGTGCCTTAATTGACAGCTGCAGTCTAGGTTCTTTCAGACTGCAGTTTTAGCCGTGCTCTCTTTTCTGTGTATTGATTAGTATCCTGTTAGAGAATACTTCTATTCATTTGACTAATACTAGCCAAATTTGATCAAATGATTGAAGGAAATCTTTTCTTGGATTTTTTTTTTAATTTATATTTTTGGATGGATGAACGTCAGAATATGTTAAGAATATTCTTGTTGAAGAAGCAAGAAAAAATTAGTTATTTTAAGTTCAGTTTAGCAGCAGCCAGTCATCAGGGTCCAGCAATTTTCCTGTAATTTGGGAGTATGTGCAAGCCAAAAATAAGGCATGGACTAAGGGTGAGATGGAAGGAACTGGAGACCACAGGAGTGCTCAAGATACTATAGAAGCAAGTGAGGTGGTAGCAGCATTGGAGAGGAACTGGAATTAATAAAACCAAGGGAATTGCAATGTGGGAATCTTGTAAGTAGATGGAGTTGTAGGAATAATAAGAGAGGGGCACCAGGGTTTGTAAGAACTTTCATGGGGCTAGCAAGCCTCTACTTACTTGTGTTTATGATGTCTTATTGACCTCCTATGGTTCATTGGTCTCAATAATTTCAAGACAGAAGGTAGGGGTAGAGTTTTCCCCTTGTTGGTTGCAGTAGTACTGACGAGTACAGTTTTGTTCCTAGGTTCTGTCTCAAGTGTCTTTAACCTGCACGTACCTTGCTGTAGCATAAATTGGTATTTAATTTAATTGCACTAGGGAAGCAGAAGAGGCCAAGCATATGTTAGTTTGAACTTCCAAGCTTGTCCTCATAGAAAACTGAGGCAGATGCTAGCAAGATCCTTATTTTTCCTCCAAAGTGTATGCTTCCCATTTAATAGCCTACATTATTTGGATTTTTCATTGTCAGCATGGTTTTGAGATAAAAGGGAAGAACAAGCAAACAAGACTTTTTCTTTGTAGTGGTTTTTTTATAAGCCCCTTTTGCACCCCAAATTAAAATAATTCATTACCTTTCTGTCTTTTAATCTTTAGGAGCAGTATATAGAGATGTTGATTATTGATTTTATGTATTAAGTATTAAGTATGTATTGATTTTATGTATTAAACAACCTCAACTATTTGAATAGTCCTGTGCAAAGCAAGGCTTCAAAAAGAACTAATTGTTGTTTCCTACCTTTAGTCTCCTTGATTTCATGCTTTTGTCAGTAGTTATGCTACTTCACTGGTAAAAAAATGCTATTTTGCAGCAGTTTGTAGTTGGCCTTTTTTGCAAGATAATCTACGCCTAAAATCAAAGGCTTTTTACAAAATTATGAGGTAAGGAGGTTTATGTGTTTCATATCTCAGCTATTGACCAGGTAATAAACTGATGTGAATATAGCTCTAAATTTCATGTAGTTATGCCTACTTACAGAATCCAGGATCATGACCTTTACAATGACAGGCATTCAAGATTTGACCTTCATTGCAAACTTAGGTACTGTGGGTCAGATGTCAGTAGTGAGCCAACAAAACTCCTGCTATGTCCATCTTAGTGTGAGCTTGTATTAGTTAGAATTTGTTTGTAGTCTAGCTGCTTTGAACAAAGGAAAAATTTTAAGGATCTGATAATTTGTTTTCTTTTAGGACCTCAGGGCAGAAACCCCACTTGGTGACCTGTGGTATCATGACTTTTGGGGTAGCAAACTCAGCAGCAATACCAGTCATAAGTCATATCGACCGCTAACTGTCCTAACTTTCAGGTGAGACTTGTATTTTTGCTTGAGGTCTGAATATTTTTTAACCTCTATTGACTCAATTGAATTTAGGGGGGAGGCACAAAAAAGGCAAGAACAAAGTAGCTGGAGGGTAGTTGGATACCTTTCCAGAATATGATTTTTGAGTTCACTACCTTAATCTCAAATGGTGTTTTAATTTTCCAATGTTTCTTTCCCAAAATATTCATTATTTTGACATTCTGTATAGCTAGTTTTCAGAGATTTTGTCTTAAGGGTCTTCTATACCTGCTACTAGGGGTGGTGTGGTTTAGTATGTCACATCATCAAGGAACTAGGAGGTGTATGTTCCTTTCACTTAGCCATGCTGCCACTTACATTGCTATTGCAGTTTTTGTTCTCTGCTTTTCTGCTGATCTGTCAAATTGTTTATTTTATAAATAGCATCATGGTACTGTGGCCTTTTTCCATCAGCACACTCTATAGTCTTCCCACCTCTTCACTCCAATATTCTAACTCAAGTGTCTGAGAATCTAGTGAAATGTCTGCCTATATATAATTTGCTAGTTTTGTCAAATAACTAAAGGTTTAAGAGGATTACTTTTGTAGATGCTTAGCTCATGTTTTTTGCACAAAGATTTGAGCAAACAGTAGACCATGTAGAAATCTGGCACAATAATGCAGAGAATATTTGAGGACTCAGTCTTAATTTCTTTATTTTCCCTTTGTGACTCAATGGTGTCAGTGGGGGCTTAGTGCTTGTTCTGCCCATTTCAAGCCATGGACTAAGTGCAGAAGAAGTGTTCCCACTCTTAGTCCTCATATTCAAGCAAAAACTTTGACCCTTTAAGGTAGTGTCAGTGTTTTAAGTACCTAGCACTGTGGGTTTCACTGTCTATTGGGCTTTCTTCACATTTTCATCAAGAAAAATAAACAGCTGAATAGAACGTGTCAGAGTCCTAAACCTGTTAAAGTTTTCACTGCATTACACAGAATATGCTTTCCTTTTTTTTTTTTTTTCTTTTCTCTGTGGTATATTCCATCTCTAAAACATTCTGGTTTATTTAAAGAGTGAACTGGGGTGCAATCATTACTATATCTGAAAATATAGATGAGCCTGTGGAGATGGTCCATAAAATGCTATTTTCAAAGAAAGAAATGGGTTTCCTTAATTTCCCTAAGCTCCAACCTTTATGTGTATCATATTTATAATTGGTTAAGTTTTTAAATAGGTTTCATTTATGCCAGATGCACATTGACCAAAATAACTGTAAAATCCCCTCTTCTAAGTAAGTTTCAGTGTATCTTACCTACTGATAAAAGCATATGGATACTAGCACAATGTTTCCCCTTTTTCTTCTCAGCCCCCATTTTACTGCAGAGTTCTTGTCTTGAATAGGGATTTAGACAGTATTTGCACTTACACTTCCTTCTGATTCTAATACTTGTATGATACATCTCTCTAACCAGTCTCACAAATCAGTTACCAAGATATGCTGACTATTTTCTGGGTGGATACTGATTGTACCCACATGCTAGGACCTCTTTCTGAGAGTATGTCAGTGGAAATCGTAGTCCCAGTGCATATTAGTTTCCTCACTGTGTGGATTTAATAAACAAAAACTCATCAAGTTGGCTGCTCTTAAGCCCAGGGGTATCCCTCCGTGGGCTGGGTTATTTATCCCGAGGATACTCCTGTGTTGCAACACTGAAGTTACGTTGTTGACCAAAACCCAGTTCTAAGTAACTGTAAGATTAAAATAGTGGTACTAAGCTATGTGTTTGGAGAGGATAGATACTGTATCCATGTAGTATTCCCTATGAATAAGTAGCCTGAAGACTGGGATATTGTTTCTATCTGGTTGGGGAGGTTAAATGGTAACTCCACCTGTACTGAGATGTCCACTTTATTTTTGTGTGCAACCGTGTTTGCTATGGGGCTGTTTAGTTTTTCTATTTGTATTTTTCTAACCCTTGTTGTAATTTCTACCCTTAATATTTTTGTTTCTATATAGAATTAATTACCTTTTTGCTGGAGGCTTCTACCCAGTTGGTTTCCATGTCATCAACATAATACTGCATTGTACTATCTCAGTGTTGATGGTTGATGTATTCTCCATATTATTGGGTGGATTGCAATTCAGCAATAAAGGAAGACGGCTAAACCTGGCTCCCAAGTCCTCTCTTCTTGCTGCTTTGCTCTTTGCTGTACATCCAGTGCACACCGAGTGTGTAAGTATTGAATCATTATCTCCAGAGATTTTTATTTTAGAAGCTCTTGACCATCTTGACTAATTAATTCTGGCGTAGCCTTATACTCTGCAGATTGCTTTTATATATTCTTAACACTTCTCTTGGCACATGTCTTAATAGAACAATCAAATATTATGGTTAGTACATCCAAGGCTTGTAATTCCACCGAGTTAGACCTTATTAAGGAACACAAATCATTCAAGTACAATAACTCAAGGAGGAGAGCTCTATGCTACAGAATTTCCCTACCTCCTGGATTTCTTTAATTGCTGTTCATTTCCATTTGCATTGGTAAAAAAAGCAAAGAGCTTTAAAATCAGAGATGGGGCACTCTATGAACTTTGTATGTGACTAGTAGAATATTGCATTCAGTTTTGCATCCATGCTGCAAGGACAACACTGGAAAAATTGGAGAGTGCTCAGAAGAGCCATGAAAGTGATTAAAGGGCTGGAAATCATCCTGTTTCATAAGAGATCAAACTGGGTTTATATTTTTAATATGAAGGAGAAGATTAAAGAGGTTTTTTTTGATCGCAGTCTGTAATTATGTACATGGGGAACACAAATTTGACAGTAATTTTAATAGTGCAGGCAAAAGCAAAGATGTAAAGATGCAGAATAGAAGCATGGCACATGTATAGCAATCAGTTAAAACATCTGATCAAAACACAAAATCCTTGTGTGGGAATTCTGTGACGGGAAGATGTTGTTCTTAAAAAGCTCTTTTGTGCTTGTAGCTAAGAAAATCTTACGGCCTTATGCTAGTGGGCTTGCTGAATGTTGTCACTGATCTCTTGACCTTGTGATAATGATAAATCAAATATAAAATTGTCACAGTAAGGGAAATATTTTGGGGGTTTTGATAGAATTTGGAAGGTCTGAAATACAGAAAAAGTACTAAAAGTACGGAAAAAAAAGTAAAGAAATATTTTGATTTTGTCCTAGCAATGAACAGTGAATCCTACAGTGCACGTTCTACATATGTGAATATGATTTTTCACTTATTCACAATATGCCATGGTTTTGGCTTCTCACATTTGCTCTGCACATGACTGGTGGGGAAAAAGTTATTGAAAGCTGTGCTCTCAGCTGTCTGGAGACCTTGCATGTATTGAAGACCTAGAGATGGTGCAAAGTTAGGCATTAGTAATCTGCCACCTTTTCTGGCAGTGTGGCTAAAACATCTTGACAATCATTCTCTGGTGTTCACTCATCTGCACAATAACTTCTTTGTGAGAGTGCACTGTGTCAGAAGGGCCCCTCATATTTGTTTTCCAAAACCAGTTTTAGATGTCAGAGTAAAGTAAAACAAGTCTTCAGCGCTTTTGATGTTCTGACATGTAAAGAGAAATCTCACTTGAGTCTTAACTTTGTAGTAGACCTACTATTGACCCCTTTATCAATATCCATAAATTTATTCTGCATTCCATTTGACTCTAAAAATGTATTTAAATCAGCATGAGAATATTAATAAGCCCTTTGTCGTGTCAAATAAATTACAAGTGATGTGGTCTCCTTGCATATTTGAAGACTTGCAAATGTTTCAGGCAAACAGTGGAAGAAGAGGGAGAAAAAGTAGCACACTTATATATCAGGCCTCTTCTAAAATTCAGGAATGAACAAAAGCCTCTAATCATTTACATGGTGAATAATAAATCTTGCTCCAATGGAGAAGTCATTTGTACTGCTACAGTTCTAGGATGAGTGTGTGTGTCTGGCAGCGTCTCTTAAAAAGCATTCCTTATGATTTTAAACCTGTGAGTTTCAAGTATCCGACATCCTGGCTTTGAAATGAGATGACATATTTTGACATAAAATTGTGAAGAATCCGTCTGTTTGCTGCTTTGGGTTTTTGGTTTATACAGCGAAACAAACTGTCATGTAAAACAGATACTGAAAGGTGTAATGCTTTCAGTACCTATGTAAGGAAAACACTATAATTTTTCTACCTACAAGTAAATACTCTTGTGCTATAGTTCTCTGCTCTAGAAAAGGCCTATCCTTTGTAACACTTCAGTGATGAAATGCTAAATGAATCATGGACATAAGAATAGATCTGATACTAATTTAAAACTGGTTTGTTTGCTTTCTTTCCAGAATGTATATGCCTTATCTTGCATTTTAGGTAACATTTTGCTGTTGGAGTAATCTGAGGCCATGTGCATTATTAGCCCTTTAATCTCTTTGCTGTAACAAGTGGACATTTATTTTCAAAATTGTGTCAGCTCACCTTAACTTTTATCTCATTAGGAAGAGCGGCTCCTGAAGCAGAATGACACTTCATTATTTTCACCTTTCAAAGCACTCCATAGCTATTGAGTTAATTCTCATAATTCCTTTGTATGATAGAAGAAGGAGCAGCAGAGAAGTTAGCTGCACAGCTGTAGATAAATCAAGAAGTTCTTCTGTACTGAATTTAGGAGTCCAACAGTTTCTACTTTCACAGTGCTTAAGGAAAGCTGAGGGTAAAAGTGGGAGAGAGTTTCTGCTGTGGAATCAGTCATACTCTCATGCCTCTACACTTCTCTTTCTCTGATGTTATTTGGAAATAGTTGCTCCATCATGTTTCCCTGACATAAAAAATGCTCATTTCCTTTTTACTTTCCTCTTTCTGTTCCACACACAAAATGGGACAACTTGTATAATATAGGAGAACTGAAGTTTCTACTTTTGTCCCTGAAATATGATCACAAAAAATGAATTTAAAAAGAAAACCTGTAGCCATTCTGCCCTGCTTCTGTACATCTCCTGAAAACATGAAACTCAGCACTCCAGGAAGCAGAGCTAGACTGAAAAATAAGGGGTATTTCCATGATCCTTGCTCTGGGTGTACGTTCTAGTGAAGTTCCCACATCAGGGCTTATACAATCCCCTACCAGCTCCATGTCATGATTTTCACAAAGAAATTTGTGGTGTTATCCTGACACTTGTGTAATTGAGAACTGAAGATCCAAAAGTGTCTTGCTCTGTCTCAGCAAGTTATTGTAAATACAGTTTAGGGGCTTGAACCAAAGCTTACAGATTGCCCTGAGATTGCACTTGATTTAAATAGGTTGGCACAGATCTCAAGTACAGAGGTCCCAGGATGTGCTTCTCATTTTCTTTTGCATTAGTACAGCTTCTGTTTCAAGATGCAGTTGGAGGTAGCTCTAATGCAGTCAGTTAATAAAACACAAAAGACTGCCAGAGGGGGAATCTTTTTTATTTTTTTTTTCCCCTCAATCTGCAAGCTGGAAGGTACTTGTCCATTCTGAGTGTTCAGATTGCAATTTGAAGCCTGGCTTGTCTTCTGAAAGTGAACAGTTTTGATTTGTGTTTTAGCAGAGCTGCCAATTTAATTGTGGTTCAGGATGTTTGGCTTCCAAGCCATGTAATGGCTTCAATTGAAAGAGAGTAGATTTAGATCAGGTATTAGGAGGAAATTCTTCAGTGTGAGGGTGGTGAGGCACTGGCACAGGTTGCCTGGAAAAGTTGTAGATGCCCCATCCCTGGAAGTGTTCACGGCCAGGTTGGATGGAGCTCTGAGAAACCTGGTCTAGTGAAAGGCAGAGGGGTTGGAAGGAGATGATATTTAAAGTTGCTTCCAACCCAAACTGGTTTATATTTTGATGTTTTCTAAGTGTTCTGTTGAAATGCAGTTAGATCCAAAAAACAGATGGAATTGTGTAGAGTCTAAATTTCATGCAGTGAAATCCTCCTTCATTTCTTAAAAAAAAATTCCATAAACTAAAATTTTCATATACCAAAGCCAAACCATTTATGTAGCTGATACTAAGCAATACCCAATAAAAAATAGGATGCATCTAAAAATACTCGATATAACTAATCCACTGCACCCAGTTAAAGAAAAAAAGTGACACAGTTATATTCTATTATATATTTCACTTTGTATGTGTTCCTGTCCTACAGGTTTTCTAAGAATAAAAATCTGATCATTTGAAACTTTTTTTTTAAAGGTTGCTGGGATTGTTGGCAGAGCAGACCTACTGTGTGCCCTGTTCTTCTTGTTGTCATTCCTTGGCTACTGTAAAGCATTTAAAGAAAGTAAGCATTCTGTTTGCCCCTTTAATTTCCTACTGTGTATATTTTCAGCATTTGCACATTTCAGTGAAGTATAGCAAAATTTAAAATGTCAGATTGATTTGTTTACCCTCACAAAATATATTTTTTTAAAGAACCTGCTTTAGCAGCTATTTTATTGTTAGAAGTTCTGAAAAGGTTGCTGTCCATAATTCTTGTTAAACACTGAATTTAATATAAGCAAAGTCCACTTTATGATAAGCTTATTTGCTAAATGTTTTATTGTTTAGAAGTTTAAGGAAGTATTTTAATAAGTATTTTAGAAATAAATCAAACCTACAAATGTATATGCTTAAATATTTTACTACTCTTTATGCCATTATGTTGGGATGTCTTAAATGAGAGTCAGCTTTTCAGAACATTATTTGTATTTTTAATGAATTGCAAAGAATTATTCCTATGACTAAGCCTTCTGGATTCCTGCAATATGCAACTGCTGGCATATAATGCTGAATATAGTGTTACTCACAGTTTTTGTAAGACAGCTGTGTTTAACATGAACAATTCCTTGGTAGATGTTTTTTCAAGTGAGCTTTCAGATCTCTGGTATTGTTTGATCTGAATGCAGGTAGGCAGTTCAAATACAGTTGTGGAGAAATTATCTTGGGGGCTCTGTTAAGTAAGCACACAAGAAAGCAGGAGTTCATGACTGTGGAAAGCTTTGCAGGACATGCAAGTCGGGTATCTGAATGTGCTCTACCACATGAAATGTGGGACTCATTTGGTGGAGCCACAAGGAGCTGTGTCTGTGGTTCCATGGGCATGGCCTGTAATGATTACCCAGAGCTGGCAGGGCATTTCAGAGGCACCTGAGCTGACTTTGTGATCTGGCTTAACAGATAGTTATGGCATCACAGAGACCTCAGTATGGGCTGAGGGCAGTGACTATGTCCACAGGGAGCTGTGAGATGCTGTGAACAGCTCCTGCTGGTTCAGTTGAGATTCTTTGGAACTATTGTACATATTTCTATTGCTGATATAATAAGTTTATCTTGCCATTTCGGGTGTTACTTAGGATGATTCCAGTTTACTTGGGATATATTTTTCTTCCCTTTGAGTAGGATTAATTTCTTTCAACTGAACTAATGATTTCTTGATGAAAATTGGCCTTGGGTTCTTGCTTGTTTGTTTATTCTTTTCTCACCTGTTTTATTGGATATGACTGTGCTTATGATGTTTCTTCTGTTAGTGGTAGTGTAAGATAGACCAATCAAAATACTGCCTTATCTGTTTTCCAATGTCTCTGGTAGATAGGTATGGTTATATGGCAGAGATGATAATCTGTGCTTGAAGAATTCAAGAGCCAAATTCTTAGGATGACCACTGGACACAATTATATAGGACCTTCTAATTATTTTGCTGTACAAGACATCTTGGGAATGATGAAGGATGCATATTCTGGTTAAGGATATTCTTCAACTTGTGAGGGCCAGTTTTTAATAGCTTTTAGAAATCAGTGTTAATATAATAATATTCTTGGACTGAAATTTGTGTCACTGATACAGAAGAAGGAAAATGTTGCAAAGACAAGATACTAAGCAGCCCTTATTGATTTTTATTGGGCATTACATGATAATAGGGGAGCAGATGTCTTTTAAGCAATTTTGCCAAGGAAAATTACAGTCTGCCAGCATTGTCTTTCAGGTCAGTTTCCAATGTTTACTGTCACCTTCACTGCCTGCTTTTCCCTCGGCAACTTCTTGAAGAAGTTTAGACTTCCTCTGTACACAAGAATTTGTATCCAAGATACGTATTTGAGTCTTTCCCCTTGATTGCTGCAAAGGCACACTACTGACTCATCAGCCAGGAGCTTATCACTCAGGCACTCCTGACCTTTTTCTGCAGAGCTGCTGCCCAGGCCTTAATTGTTGCATGGTGTTGTGTTTGATTTTCATGAGACCCATCCTTCCAGCTTGTCAGAGTCCCTCCAAACAACAGTCCTGTTCACCATTGTATCCATCTAGCTGAACACCACCAAAGACCACAAGCAGTTTTTCTTGCTGCCCTTCTTATATTTATTTTTGTTCCTTTGTGGAGGGGGGAGGTTTGTCCCACCTGCAGCTGTTTGAACCTGAATGCTTGTGTAGGAAAGGAGTGTGTCTGTGTTGGAAATGGCACCTACAAAGAGAAGGGAGGCTCTCTTTTCACGGGGAACTACACGACAAAGACAAGGGGCCGTGGGTGCAGTTGCACTGGGAAAGGTTTCATCCTGATGTAAGGAAGAATTTTTTTACAGCAAGAACAGTCAATCACTGCAACAGTCTCCCCAGAGATGTGGCAGAGTCCCCATGACTGGAGGTTTTCATGCATTTGGGCAGGGTTTTAGGTGATCTTGTCTAGGCTCCCTTTCCTGCAAAGATTGGAGGTGATCTGGTGATCTCTGGAGGCCCCTTCCAAACTGAGCTGTTCCTGTGATTCTTTGTATGAAAGGTTTTAGGTAAACGAGGAAATGGCTGTTGTAGATTAGGACTCTTCAGTGAGTTTGCAAAGTAAATAAAAAGTTTTACCCTTGGTATGAATTTCCTTCTTTTGTGAACAGTTCTTCTAGGTACTCTCAAATAATAGGCTAAATAAGGAGTAAAGAACTTTTATCTGACTTTAGCTGAGTTTGATTCTGCAGAGATTGAGGGAGTCAATCCCAAATGGAAGCTAGTCTCCCTGTGAATATAAGAACATGCATTTTAAAAATATGCACATATAATTTAAAAAGCAGACTTAGACAATGTCTCCTGAGCAGCAAAGCAAAAGTGCTTTTTCTTCCTTTAGAATGTTGTCCTTCTGATGTCAAATCCTCAAGATTCAGAATGTCTGTGATATTGCCAATGCATGTTGCTAGTTCTAGAGCAAGTTAAGAACTGTTATTACATCATTTTCTAGGTCAGGCCAAGATAATTTATCTTTGTGCAATAGTCTTTGTTTGTGAGAAAGAGAGGGAAAAAACAACCAAAAACCCCTCAGGTTTTTAGCAAAACAACCAAACATTTAGCAAAAAAAACCCCTCAGGTATCAGGTTTATGCTCCTAATCAAATAGAAATGCTTTATGGTGATCCTACACAAAAGTGGATTGTACCAACATCCTTTTTCCTTTTGTCCTGCTGGGCTTTTTGTGTATTAAAGGCAAGCATGACCCTAAACTGTAGGTCAGCTGCACATGTCTGTTCCTGGATTTGGCTGTCACATTTATATAGAGCTTAGCTCACCAAATTTTTACAAAGAATGGGAGAAGAACTATCAAAGGTTGATTTATTTTTTGTTGTTTAATTGTTACGAATAGACACATTGTAGTGTGACTCTTTTGGGGCACTTAAAAGAGGGTAGAGCTCTTAAGACCATCAAGATTTGTAGACTGCATTTGTATTGTCTTTTGAATATGGTTACCAAAACACGTTTGATGCCAGTTTGTTTTTGTTTCATGAACTTTAAGTGAGCATCTGAGTAAAACAAACATTGAAAAGCCTGATGTGATGCTGCTGATATGGTTGGGTCAGTAACAAATATTGTCTGGCTACCAGCAGCATCCCAATGCTATTAGCAGACAGATTATCCAAGTTTTTAATAAAGAACCTGAGTATTCTTTCAGCAGGGCAATGTGAAATTTGTGTATGACTCAACTGAAAAAATCTGTATATGTTTCAATAGTTTAGACACTGTTAATGAATTGTCATTCTTTCAAGAAAAGGGGTCAAAATTGTATGTGGGAGACTGGTTCGTGCTTCTTTTCACTTGAGAAAATGAATATAAAGATTTACAATTTTTTTTCTGCGTGGGAGTAGGAACTCATGAAATCTCTGAGGAGGATTTGGAAGTACTATGGGGAAAGTATATGTAATAGTGAAAACAGTCAGGAGATCAGAAAAATATCAATGTCAGGCTGGAAAAATTCCAAAGGAAAATAATGGTTTTTGTAAAGCTCAAGATATACTGCAGCTTGTTTACCTGATTTATTTGTGGTTTCAGTGGATTTTTGGGTAGACAGTTTCTTTTAGCCAGAATCTGAAGCTTTTTTTTTTTTTAAGTATAGGCATTTAATTATGTGAGCTATAATTATGTCTTACTGAAGTTCTACAATTCTGTTACTTTTTCCCAGTATACCGTTTTTGAAGTTAGCATCTTTGAAAGGATACCATTTATAATTGCAAGGAACTAATCTGTTGTTCTCATTCTGTCCTGCTGTTTTAAACACAACTGTGGGGACAAATCCACTGCATAGGCTTTGGAGACAGCAAGAGCTGACAACTGTTTAGGTATGTTCTGAAGGGAATTGTGGGTTATTAACTTTGTTGAATTTTAATGCAGCTTCTCTGGGAATTCATAAGGCAATTTAAAACTGCTGTAGTGTTCATTTTTTTGCCTTCCTTTGTCTTCAGTTTTGACAGTGATCCAGTTGCATGTATTCGCCATCTGCGTTGGCAATCTCTGAATGAGCTAAAATGAGGAATTCATGACTTGGTCCACGTGAATAATTTGGTGCAGATATTAAATATGGGATCAGCTCTTTGCTCATATGCTGTGACATCTAAAAATTACTTTGTTCTGGTTATGTGTTTTTGTTTTGTTCTATTCTGTGTAGATGTCAATCAATCATCTACTAGTTCATTGCTAATTTAATAAAGCATGCAAAGTAGCGATGAGTTTTGTGAATATTGGAGGTTTATATTATGGAAGTTTTCCTACAGATTGGAAACATTTAAGTCTCCTGTGTGAAAGAGATGGTTACTAAGATAACAATTTTATGATTTTAGTTGGCTGAGGAAACACAATGACCTTTTTCCTGGAAGAATTAATGCTGACTTTCACTTCTCCAAGATGTTGTAATTCAGGGGATAGATGCTTCCTTCAGTGTGGCCTCTAGGTAATGAGTTTGAGATGGCTGGATATGTTTAGGAGTGGCATTTCCTACTGTAATATCATTATTAAGTGAAACACTAAGCTCAACTGCAGTAGTATGTACATGTGGAGATACACAAGGAGATCTTTGGCTTAATTTAATTCTAACAGTGGATTCTTATGTGATCTTTTAAGACTAGATAATTCTTCCCCCTTTGCTTAGCAATTCATGAGCAGGGAACTCTTAGAGCTTGATTAGAAGAATATTTGTAGCAGTTAAGTTGGAAGATACCATCCCCACAGACAAGGCACATTAATGGAATATAGGAGTTTGTGATCGATTTCATTTAAAAATTAAAACTTCCTGCAGGAGCTCAACATAACTTACTTTGCTTCAATCTTCAGAGGAGTAGGTGCTTTCACAGAATCAGTTGCTGTGTTTCACCTGAAGATGGTGACTCCATAAACTGCTACAAGCTGTCATCTGGCTGACTGTTAAGTTGCTCATCTGGGTTGGAAGAAGGAAGTGCTGAATGCCTAAGTGTCTGAATTGATAGTAATTGCTTTGGATATTGTTAGTTTGGCTTTACAATAAAACTAAGCTTGGTAGTTTAAATGTAGCATTTTCTTCATATGCTTCACTTCTAAGGAGTTTGTTGGCCTGTGGATTTAGGACACCAGAAAATAAGGTCTCTTGAAATAGGATTAGTATTTAAGTCCACTGTCAATGTGTTGCTCGTAAATTTA